GTGGCCCTTCTTCTCCCAGCCCCACTCCCAGTGCCCGAGCTGTCCTCTCCTTTCTCCCCAGACCAGACAGTAGTCCGCACCTCCCTCGCCGTGCTGGGGAAGGGGTGTTTGGCTTCCTCCTTCAATTGCATCTTCCTGTACACGGGGGAGCTGTACCCCACCGTAATCCGGTGAGTGAGGTGGGGGCGGGGCTGGGGGACATCATCCTGCAAATGGTCAGACCCAGCCCCCACGGCAGCTGCTCAACTCATAACTCGGGTCTGGAAAGCACGGTTCGCACCCCCAGCCAAGGCAAGGTGGGGAGCACAGGGACACATCTCAGAGGCAGACTAAGGAGTTCCCAAAACACACTGAAAGCTGCCACCAACCTGAGCTTCATCTTTAAGCCAAGAATGTATAACCAAGAACATGAACACAACGTCCCTTCCAACCACAGAAGCAACGTGGATTGTATGGGCCAGGAAAATATCACCAGCTCTTTGGAGCCCAAAGATGGGGGTGGTTAGGAAACCTGTCTATTTTAAGGCCGGATGCAAAATTCACCTGAGATGTCACACAGAAATGTCAGGTTTCCTTGGCTACTTGGGCGAGAAGCCCAGGGTCCCAGGTGCCACATCCTTCTGAGATCCAGGAAAGAGTGTTGGTGTAAAGCTCTTGCCATGTGCAAGGCTGTTGTGAACTTTCTCCAGGATTAACTCACCTGTCCTCAAGAGAAGCCAGTGAGGCAGACACCACCACTCTTCCCATCCCAGGAATGCAAACAGAAGGCACAGAAAGGTCAGATGACTTCTCTGACACCTCACAGCCAGAGAAGCCAGGGAGTCAGCATTTGAGCCCCACACAGGCTGCCCTGTGAGGCCACACCTTGTCCCCCTCTCCCTGCAATGCCCTCACATGTTCCTAACAGGCAGAGTCCTCATCCTTACCAGGGGGAACTGCATCTAGTGTGTGCAGCTGGGGCCATGAAACCCCACAGTCATACGGGTGATCTAAGAACTATTGACCTAACCCTCTCACCAAGCCTCCCATTTGACAGCTCAGGAAACTGAGGCCCAGAGACGGAAAGGGACTTGCTCAAGGTCACACAGCAAGTTAAGAGCAGAGGCAAAATCCAATCTCACAACTCCTGATTTCCTTTTTAAAGTCACCAAAATACAAGTCAAAGTCACCTCCTACTGTAGGGGAGAATGGTAGTACAAGTCAGGGTTGGGGCAGTGTCCTGGCTGCGACAAACACTGCGACCTCTAACCTGCAGGCAGACAGGCTTGGGCATGGGCAGCACCCTGGCCCGGGTGGGCAGCATCGTGAGCCCCCTAGTGAGCATGACCACCGAGCTCTACCCCACTGCACCTCTTTTCATCTTCGGCGCCATCCCTGTGGCCGCCAGCGCCGCCACAGCCTTGCTGCCCGAGACACGGGGCCAGCCACTGCCCGACACTGTGCAGGACCTGGACAGCAGGTAGGGCCTGTGGGCCAGGCCAGCCTTCCACCCTGCAGAGCCCCACCCAACTCTCCAGCCTGGCCACACACTCAGAGATCTGCTCTCCCCACCCCAGGAGGACAGGGAGACTGAGGCAGCCCCAGCAGGAGCAGCAGAAGCAGATGGTGCCACTCCAGGGCACCACCCAGGAGAAAGATGGACTCTGAGACCCGAGCCTCCTATGGGCCCAAGCCTTGTACCTGGAGAGGCACAGCCACTTGGGGTCTGTGGCTCAAGGATCCCTGCCCAAGATCACATAATTAAAAAGTTTGGCTATATGCAGTGTCTTGAATCCAACAGTCCTCCTGAGTCAGCTGACCTCACTCAGCCCAGGAGTCACACAGTGCTGTCCCACCTCTGCCTGTCCCGACCTCCCATCTCCAATACAGGTCACCCCAGCTCTTTACAACCACTCCAGATGGTGAGAAAAGTATGTCTTAGCCACGGCAGGGGAGTACTAGTGCTCTGGGAGGCTGAAGCAGTAAGACTGCAAGTTCCAGCCCAGCCTGGGCAACTTAGCAACCTAGCAGAACTTGTCTCAAAATAAAAAATATAAAGGGAGGGCCAGGAATTTAGCTCAGTGGTTCTACCACATGCCTCACAAGCACAAGGTCCTAAGTTCAATGCCTAGTACCAAAAATTAATTAAGTAATTAATTGATTAAAAAATGAATAAAAGGGGAAGGCTGGGGATTTAGCTCAGTGGTGCTGCACCTGCCTCACAAGCATAAGGTCCTAAATTCAATCCCCAGAACAGGAGAAAAAAAATAAAGAATAAATAAATAAACAATAAAAAGGAGCTCAGATGCAGCTCAGTGCAAAGGTCCTGCGTTCACTCCCCAGTACTGTCAGATGAAAAGTAAAAGTCTCTTAGTTCGGCCCGTTCTTCACTCCATCTCTAATTTATTCAAATATTTCTGAGAGTTTTAATGAGAAACCTCATGTCCAGCCCCGCCCAGAAATTGACAAGAGAGCAAGCTGATCACAGCCAATCAGAGGCTTGATTTCAGCTCCTTGCCCCTTGTGGGAGCAGAGGAGGAAATGAACCATAGCTGTGACCTCAGGCTTCACAGCTGGTACCACTGAGTCACCAGGTGACCGCAGGTCCAGACCAACACCAGCTGCCTCTTTTGTTCTGAGGCTGGCTCCCTCCTCTGGCTGCCTCTCTGAGCCTCTGCCAACCCCAGGGGCCACAGCTGGAGGAGGGGAGGGAGGTGGGGAACCTGAGCCCCAGCCACAGGTTAAGGCCTTTCCCCTCCAATAGCCTTCTTAGCTCCCTGCTTTACAGGTGAGGAGATGGAGGCACAGAGCAGCCTTGGATCTGCCTAGATTTGCACAGCCACTGGACTGTGGCTGCAGGGTTAGATCCAGACAACGGGCCCATCCCTCTATGCCAGGGGCTGCAGAGCCTGAGACTTCAGCTTCTGCACCCCAGGGCCCCGTTTCTCCTTCCTGCCGGAGTGCGAAAGGGACAGGGAGAAGGGTGGTTGAGGAGGAGCTGTGAAGGACAAGGAAGGTGGTTCAGAGTGCGCCTGCAGAGACAGGCAGCTCATCAGCACCTGCGGATGCAGCGCTGGGGCCTGCTGTGCTCCGCTGGCCAACACTTGTCCCAGTCCCTCGGCCCCAGGGAAAGCCACGTCCATCCAGCCACACACACTGTTCTCTAGGCAGTATGGGCTTGGGTGAGTTGGGCTGGGTTGTCAGAGCAGTGGCCTGGAGGATCTGGGGAGAGTGACGGCTACTCTGATAGGATGCTCAGGACTAAGCTGACCCAGGTAAACCTCCATCACCCACCCTCCTGGAGCCTTGAAGATGTGGCTTTCTTGGGTTGCCAATCCCGGTTCTCCTTGAGGATCCTTCAGTGCCTGAGGACCAAGGGCCGTCTTGGCTGCCACTCCTCACAGCCTACAGCAGGGTACAGGTCTGAGACTCGGTGGACCCACGCTGGGGTCCACCCTGCTTCTGCCGACCTGGGGGTTTTGAGTCTCTTCCTGACCCCTGCCTGCAAATCCAAGGAGCGGCTCTGTTGTGTTCTGACTCCGGTGGATGTCTCGCCCCAAACAAATCACCTGGCATGTGCACTGGGGCCCAACAACGCTGCCTGGAACCAGCCTTCACCTCCGCAGCTGCATCCCTACCACAAAATCCTGTGTGCTAATTAGAAGCTTGGCCTCCCCACCCCTGGCTCCTGGCCCCACACACCTAGCACTCCTGAGCACACAGAACCTTGTTAGTCTGGTTCTCATCCCTGTGATGCAATGCTTGAGGGGAGCTAACTTTATTTAAGAGGCTGATTTGAGCTCATGGTTTATTCCATGGCTGAGGGCCCCCCACTTATTGTTGCCAAATGAGAGTAATTTCTGATCATTTTCAACCAAATTACATTTGGTGTTGACAAATAAAAGGTGAGCTGGAACCAGAGGTTGAGGAGGACAAGCAGCCTGCTGAGCTGGAGTCAGTCTGGAGGCAGGGCAGATTCTCCTGGAGCCTCATCCAGGAGCATCCCAGCGGCTGCTGGTTTCAGACATTGGCCCCACACCTACAAGAGACTCGGTCTGGCTGCTTGTGGTGATGTATTCACAACAGTGATGGAAAGCAACTCGAACTCTGTTCTCAAACTCCTCTAAGAGGCCGGGAGGCTTAACCGTCTGTGCACAACAGTCTTGGTGGGGATGGGGCTCTGATGTCCCAATCTCCACAGGCCTGCCACTCCCCGCGCCTGCTGTCTCACCAGGTACACAGGATTTAGCTCAGCTGCTGAGCCCTATAGATGGGCCCTCTGTGCATCCTAGATGCCACTCTGCTGAATTCCTGCTCGTACTCAGTAGGTGCGTGAACATTTTGGAAGAAAAAAATGGTTACAAGTAGAGGGACCAAAAAAAACCACTATGGGGACTCCTTGGCCTCATGTGCTACCTTCATGGAAATTGTCTTCAATCCTTTCCAAGATGTGCCTGTCTCCGTGTGACTCAGGCCGATGTCCTAGAACTGAGGCTGCATCCATGGTCATTTCCCAGGAAAAGAGGTCCCACTGCTCCTGAGCCTGCACCCGAGAAGCCCACACCCAGCAGGAAGCATCTTGCAAGCTGCAATCACAGAAGCCAAGCCGCCCGAGCGACCAAGTTGGCCAAGGTTCAGAGGCAGAAAATGCTGAGTCTGAACCAGACACCTGGAAGTGTGGCCACCACTGGTCACCAGAGAGAGAAGTAGAGATGACACAGAAGGACAGGGTTGCCCAGGGTTTGGTGATGTCACTTAGCCATGCCAAGCCACCTGCCTATCCGCATGCAATCCAAAAACCATTGTCCTTTCAAAAGCATTAAAGATGGAAGGAGGCTGGGGCTGCAGCTCACAGCATGGTTCCTGCCCAGCATGTACAAGGGCCTGGTCTGGTGCCTAGCAGTGAAAAAAGTAGGAATGGAAAAGGAGAAGCTTCAGCCAACAGGGAAGAACAGAGCTCACGTTACCCTCCCGACGTAGACAGCCAGAGAACTGCAGGGAGTAGGAAACAGTGTTCTCACCTGGGACTGAAAAGGAACACAGCCCTCGATGCACAGTCTTCCACCTGGAAGCTGCTCTGGGACCGCAGCACAGAGGTCTGAAGCCTTGCAGAGTGGGGTCAAGGAAAGTGGAGTTCACCGCGGCCAGTCAGCTCAAACCTGCAGAGGAGAGAGCTGCACAAGCTTACGGCTCCAGAGGCCTGCAGGATGTTGCTTAAAAACTCTAACCTCAGTAAAGAGAAATCAGAACCCAAACTTAAACATTGGCCCCAAAACAGAGCACACACAGCAGAAGACACAATGAAGGCTCCACATCATCAGCTACCAGGAAAATGCAAAGCAACGCTCAGTGAGACCCTTTGCAACCCCACGTGTGGCTGAGAACTCACCCTGGGGCAGCCCAGCCCCCTGAGGGCTCTGTGGATCTCCCCAGCTGGACCCTCTGATTGGACTTCAGCCTCTCAACACCATGTGACCAAGGCTCAGCACCCTGAACTCCCCCACAGAGAATCCCCATGGCTGCAGGGACAATGCTGTCTGCCCACACTGCTGAAACCAAGTCCTCCAGCCTTCCCCACAATTTCCCCGCCACTCAGTGGGCTATCGACAACTCTGATTAAACAAGAAAAATAAAGTAAAAGCCTGGCCATAGCAAGGGGTTGGCACGACTGTGGAGTCTCTGGAACTCTCACACCTTGCTGTGAGGGATATAAACTTTGGAAACACTTTGGAAAACCATTTGATAGTTTCCAATACAGTTAAAGCCGTCAACATTCCACCTCCACAGGCTCTTCAGTGTGAGTTCAGCCACCATGGATCTGAAGTATTCTTAGAAACGACAGCTATACTGAGCACGCCCAGGCCCTTTTCCTCATCGTTCTGCCTAAGCCACCCACTACAGCACCTGTCCACACAGCACTTACATCCTGTTAGGGTTATGAGGGTCCTAAAGATAAAGTAACAGGTCTGGGAGGACATTCTTGGGCTCTCCGTGAACCCTGAGCCATTTCACCAGCAGAACCTAGCATCCTCAGACTGGTGTCTTTGGAGAACCCTGCCACCAGCCCCAACCTTCTGTGACCCCGCACTGCCACCTCAAGGTACGACGTGTTCACCCAAGAGAAACACGGTGCATGTTCACTCACAGCCCACAAAGTCACAGTGATTTCACTTACACTAGTTAAAAACTCAGAACAACACAAACCTTCACTGACAGGTGAGGACAACAACCTCCGATCGCACATATAATGACTACTACTAGGCAATAAAAGGGAATCAACTATCCCTGCGCTCTTGTGGTTCACACCTGGAACGTCCCCCAGGGCCTCACATGCACAGAGCTGGGCTCTTCGAAGGTGGCTGGACCATGGCAGCACCATGCTCTTCAGAGGACTCATCCCAGCCTGGGAAGGACACGCGCACCCTGCCCAGTCACTCCCCACCAGGCTCCACCTGCCATAGCAAGTCAGCTGGAGCCCCCAGAGTCCAACCACCTTCCAAAACCCCCACCTCAACATGCACGAGGTTCTTGGAGGTACCTATATCCAAACTACGACACCCAGCTACTCAGGAGGCTGAGGCAGGAGGATCACAAGTTTAAGCTCAGCCTGAGCAACTTAGTGACTTAGCAAGATCTTATCTCAAAATAAAACAAGAAAAAAGAGGCCGAGGTCTCCAGTACCACAAAGAAAGAAAAAGAAAGAAAGAAAGAAAGAAAGAAAGAAAGAAAGAAAGAAAGAAAGAAAGAAAGAAAGAAAGAAAGAAAGAAAGAAAGAAAGAAAGAAAAAAGGAAGGAAGAACCAGGACACCAAAGAATGTATATTTGTTGTGGTTTACCTCAAGAATGTCCCACAGAGGCTGTGAGGTGAGTAGCTCCCCTCTGCCCAGGCCACTCTGAGCCTTCGGGGCATAGACCAAAACTCCTGAAACTGAGCCAAAATAAACCAGTCTTCCTTTAATGTGCAGGTGCCAGAGACTTTGTCCCAGGCGTGAGGAAAGTGACTGAGACTACATTGTTCACTCGATAAGCCCATTGCCAAGGGCAGGTGATGAAGATGGACTGGCTGCAGTACTAGAGTTTGGTGGGTGTTATGGAATCGTCACATACGTTTTAAAAATCCCAAAGTGTGTCAAAGTGTGCCCTCTGAAATGACACCCGGGAGTCACACAGAATGGTATCTACTGTAATATTACGGTAAACATTCATTTTCCTCAAGTATTTGAGGTGAATTGTGGTGGACATTTCCTGGGTTTTAGCTGGTTGACATGTGAAGCTTTTTCCTGTCCCCTAGCTGTGGATCTGGGAACCAGCTATCCCCACATGCAGCTCCTGAAAACTACTCGGGCCATGAAGCCCACTCGGGGCTTGACTCTCGGAAACCGGCACAAAGCCACAGTGGAGAAAGTGACCACACTGTCACCACGGTGAGTGCAGGGGAGGGGATGAGCTTCTCAGAGTGTCCCCTGACACCTGGCCAGCCTGCAGGGCTCCTGCCCACCTCTGAGCCAGATGCTTGGCTTTCCCATCAAGACCATAGATTACCCGCTATCCTGCTAGTGGTTTTTCTGCAGCTCAAGCTGTCCACAGTCTGTTTCTGCCACTGACATTCGATAACCCTAACTGATCCAGCTCTCCGGCCACCCAGCCCCGCCATCATAGGCTGGAGTTTGTAGGTGCTTCCTGCTTGTTTCCTACACTGGGAGTGTTAGGACTTTTCAGGTGCAAATAACACAGAACTCGAACTGGGGGCTGCTGGCTCCCATGTCTCAGGCACCGGCACCATCATGGTCCCAGGCTCCCTTCAGACCTCTGCTCTGTGAGCCGCAACTTCCCTCATGGCAGCCAGAGGCTGTGGTGGCTACAGAAGGGAAGCCACACCTCACTCTCTCGGGAGCAAGACGTCCCTTTGGAAGTACTTCTCCAGAAGCCACCTCCTCCACAAGGGGCTTTCTGCTACTCTCCTCGGCTAGAACTGTGGCCCCATAGGCGTGGCACTTTCGGGGTATGCTGTAGTCTGAATCTTAAATATCCCCTCAAAGCCCTCAAGGCCTTGACCCCAGCCCAAACACTATGAGTAGTGCAGGAAACAATGCGAGGTGGGGCCGGGGGAGGGCTGAAGGCAGTGTAGGACCCCGTTCTTTCGGGTGGAGGTGAGCAGTTTTGCTCTTCCATGCCCTTCCACCGTGACGAGCTCCTCACTGCAGACACCAAGGTCGACTGTGGGATTCCTTTCTAAGTTGACTCCTCTCAGGTATGTGTTGTCGCGGTGGAAATCCAATAGATACAGGGCTCCACAGCCAAATACCAAAGAGCAGACAGCACAAATGACAGAGGCTGGAGACCCTCAGCGGGCATCAGCAGGCATGGCCTCTCCTGGGCCTCTGTCCTTGGCTGGCAGATGCTGGCCTCCTCACTGTGTCTGAATATGGCCTTCCCTCCCAGGGTTCTTCCTTCTCACGAGGACATCATTCCTGCCGAATCAGGACTCCTCCTGTGGCCTTGCCTAACTGTAAGTAGTTCCTCAAAGGCTCTGCTCTGAACATAGTCACCCTGGAATACAGGTATCAACACATGGGTAGGAGGACATGGCGCCAAAGGCCTGAAGTGGTGTAGACCCCAATAGGCCCAGGCTCCTGCTGGCTGTTCACTGTGTCACATGCACTGGCTCAGTTCTGAGAAGGAGAGGGTTGTAGAGAGAAAGCCACACTGCTGACGTCTGGCCAAAATCGGCTCCTCTGAAGAAGGTTACAGCAGGCACAGCCCCTGCCCTGAGCAAAGGCCCAGGGCTGTGACTCTAGGAGAGGAGGGAGTCAGGGCCCTAAGGACTCCTCGAGGCACATTTCTGTGTCTCCTCAGCCCAACTTGAAGGTGGGAAGACCTGGCTCTTGAGTGTGAAGAGCTCGGCACAAGCTTCATGCCCAAAGCACCTTGGCCCTTCCTTCTCCCACACAGGAAGGCGCCCGTTCCATCTACCAGGCCACACCCCTCTGTCACATGGTCACGTCTCCCACCTGACCCAACTCCATGTCCTTCAGACCCAGACAGGCTGCTGACAAGATGACAACCAAGACTCCATTCTCAAGTCGCAGTGACACACGGCGCCTCAAAATAAGTCACAAAAACCCCGTGAACCTCACAGGGCCTGGGGCTCCAGCAAAACCAGACCTGGTGAGCAGAGGAGAAAACACAGTTGATCTCCCTCCCTACCCTGAAGAACAGGAAACAGATGGCTCCAGGCTGAGGCCTCAGCCCCTAGCTCTCCACAGGGCCTCCTGAAGGAGGTGGGGGTTCTTGCTGCAGGTGCAGGACCCCCTGGGAGTCCTGCCCCCCCAATTCCTTCATCACACCTGCACAGTTTCATACCACCTTCCCAATCCCAGCACCAGTCTCATCAAGCACAGGGGCCAGGGTCCTGGATGGCCCTGGAGAGCGTGGGCAGCCCAAGCCCTGCCCATGGGGGCAGGCTTTCTGGATGACACAGAAACCTGTGCCAACAGCCGGGTCTTCTCATCCACCATTGTGATGAATGTGAGGAATCGGGGCCTAGGCCCCTGCTAACCTGTGAGTCTCCCCATCCCCACACAGGCACAGACGACAGGACCCTGAGTCAAGTTTGTCCAGATACAAGAAGACACTGGAGTTGCAAAGAGCTCACCCAAAACACTCAGGGGAGAGAACTGCTGTTGGATTTAGGGGCATGGAAGTAGAGAGCCACTCTGCCCCTCTCAGCCCCCACAGGAGAGGAACCAAGACAGGGACTTGATGTCCAGTGTCTCAGAATGACAAAGGCCCAGGGGAATTGGACCACTCCCCCGTAGGTACAGAAGCGGGGAGAAGAGCAGCGTAGGAGGTGGGGACCATTTCAGAGCAGGAGATTTCGGGCACAGTTTTAGAGACAGAAACAGTTTCCTGACATCATCTAGAAATAGCTCACAGTAGCCAGGCTAGGAACTGGAGTGCAGCCAAGGAGCTAAGATGGGAAAGATGAGGAAGGGGGGGGTTCTTTCAGTTCTAGCAGTTTAATACCTTCCCCCGAAGTGCACCCCCCGTGTTGGTCCCCCTGGCCCATTGAGCACCACATCAGGCTACATTCTGCCCCTCGTAGCTGTCACGTTGTTCATCCTCTTACATCTGCTCTATTCAATAGCCTTTTGGATGCAAAGAAAAAGAGCCCTCTTGGATCAGTTCGTGGGAAAAGGGGTTATGACTACAAGGATGCAGATTGTAGGTTAGGCTGGAGATGTCTGTCAGTAGTGGAGCACTTGACTAGTATGATCAAGGCCTTGAGTTCCAGCCCCACTACTGAAAAAAAAAAAGTGTCAGGGAACGCAAGGATAGGAAACAAAGTACATGCAGGCCTAGTGGAACTGGAAACAGAAGTTTATGCGCCAGAGGCGTTTCTATATGCTTAGCTCCATCTCTTTTCTCAACCCATCCCATCTGTGTACTTATCTTGCTAGAACACTGCTCATCACATTGGATCCATACCTCTCAAACTTACAGTCCATGCACCAAACGTGTTAGTGTATCTCTACTAATTTCTCAGAAAAAGGTCTAATCCACTTGGTGCAACATACTTATGAGCCACCCCTCCCCACATGGCTCCCGCATCCGCACACTTCACCTAATAAGAGTACCAAGGGTGAGCGCAGTGGGATTATGCAGCCCGCTGCCCGTTAGTCAGGGTGGTGCAAAGAGAAGCCTGGAGAAAGGACTGTGCTCAGGCCTAGCCCCACACTTTACTACTGCAACATCTGACCCTGGTTTAAAAGAAAATTTCCACTAGAAAGATCCAAGACGGAAAAAGAAGGTAAGTGAACACCAGATGCTGATAGAAATGTAAAGACCACGCTCAGGAGATTTCAGTTGGGAAGAAGGACTCCTCTGGCACTTGGACAGATGCCATGTGTGTTACACTCTGGCAGAAAATGTGTCTATATTTTGTCCGTGTCCTGAGATTTTGCAGAAATCTGAGATGAAGGACAGTGGTGGCTGAAATTTCAAAGCACCAACATTTACACCCTGGCATAGGTATAGTTTTATACCAGATTTATAATGAGAATTGGTAGGAAAGGAAGAGCAGAAAATTTTGAAAAACTTGAATTTTGTCTCTGAAGGAACCGTGTGAAAAGTTGGGGCCAGAGGAAGAGTGAATGCTGAAGAGATTATCACCATTAAAATGGAAACAAATACTGTGTACAGAGATAAGAAGAGAGACGCCTTGAGGATATCACAGGCTCAAGAGTACGTCAACTTCTTTTTTTTTGTTTGATTTTTTGAGACAGGGTCTCACTATGTAGTTGAGACTGGCCTGTAGCTCACTATGTAGCCCAGGCTGGTTTTGAACTCACAGAGATCCTCCTGCCTCAGCCTCCCATGTGCTGGAATTACAGGCTTGCGCCACCACACCTGGCTGCGAGTGTCAACCTTTCATGTGAAAAGAGAGTCCCTGGGATCCCTGCTAGAGAAGGGACTTCTAGGGAATTGGTTCCCTGAGACTCATCTCACTATGCTCAGCCATCCAGGCACTCAGCAGATACTGTAGCTGTGGTCCAAAGGGGCCCTGGTACGGCTTGTGCAGACAGCTGACCTTGGTGTCATCTGTGTGATATCAAAAGCATGCAAAATGCAAGAGCTATAGGGTCACGGAGGCTTCCACTCAGATTTCAGAAAAAGGCCTGGGAGGCCCAGCAAGGAGGTCTTAAGAGGACAGTGCATGAAACTGTTGGAATGAAGCCAAAGGCACAGTGGACACTCCAAGAAATTGGAGACGCCAGGAATGTGGAATATCTGCTGAAGAAAGCTGGAGCCCAAGAGAGAGGATACATGGGCTGCAACCAATAAGCCGTAGAGGTGGGACTGCCCACACCCTCTGGAACACATATCTGACCCAGACGCCGAATACAAAACTGGAGGACTTAATGTGTTGTTCACTTTTTTTTTTTTTTGTACTGGGGATCGAACTCAGGACCTCAAGCTTGCAAGGCAGGTGCACCACTGAGATAAATCCCCAGCCCTGTGTTGTCTTCTTGCTTTGAACTCACTTTCCCTCCCCATTCCTCCCTTTGAAAATGGGAGTGTTCTGCGCAGTGCCATTGTACCTTGGAATTATGTAATTTGTTTCTGATTTTTAGAAATCTTCACAGGTAAGAATTTTCCTTGAGCCTTTTGAAAAATGCTGGAACCATTGGAAACTTGAGGAAGAGATTGGTGAGTTTCAGGTTGTACACAGGAGAGTCATATTATGTTAGAAGGAATTATGAACTTCCTATTGTCTTATTTGAAGATTAAAAGGAGATGCTTGGGTATAGAGTTGACACAGGATGAGATGTAGCATTTAGGGCAGAGTGTCGACTTGATTGGCTTTGGGATCTTTCCAGGAGATTGTTGGAGATACTTCACTTCTGGGTGTGCCTGGGTGGGTCATGGAGCTCTGGCCTTAGGGTCTATGACTGGTCTCCCCAGCCTCTCTGGCACTGTTGTTCTATTCTGCTTCCTAGACACCATAAACTAAGCAGTTTTGCTCCTCCACACCATTCTGCCATGATGTTTCTGCTTTGTAGTAGATAACCATGGACTGAATCCCCTTAATACATGAACTAAATAGGGCTGGGGATTTGGCTCAGTGGTGCTGCCACCTGCCTCGCAAGCGCAAGGGCCCAAGTTCAATCCCCGGTACCAAAAAAGAAAGAAAGAAACCACCAAAACATGAACTAAATTAAACCTCTCTTCTAAGGAGGAGTTGGGGGTGGGTGGTGACTAAATACAGCCATTCCTTCTCCCTCTGATGCACACAAGCATCTTATGCAGCCCCTTCATGCATAGTTGTGGGAACTTCTCTTATTATTTGCCAGCCTAACTCAAATTCTGAGATAACTCTGTCCACTAATCTTAACTTGTGTTATCAGTCCTCCCAGTTCTGCTCCTTCTACTCTTCTTTCCAAGGTCAACTCAAAGAACTATCAACCTACCTGCAGCTCTTCTGTTCAAAACAGCAGGCAGTTTAATCCTAAATCTCAGATTTCCTGTTATCTAGAGCAAAGAATATAAATCAGTAAGCATCATGGATGTCCTTCTGAATTGGAATTCAGCAGCACTCTCTTCATCTTTTTAGTTTCAGTGGCTAACACTCACATAGTTCCCTGGAATCTGGAGACAATTCCAAATACGCAATCCAATCCTCTTCCAATGGGCACTGTAGATGGGGCCATCATCCACTGCCGCACGTGGCCCCAGGCACTAAACAGCCTATTTTATATAAGCACAGCCAAGATACCTCTTCCTTGAGCCACTAATATAAAAGCTGCCACTGCTCATGAGAACGGCTCATCAGGGTAACAGGCAAAACCCAGGGGCATGGCACCTTGCCTGGCAAGTGCAAGGTTCTAAATTCCATTCCTAATACTGAAAAAAAAAATGTGAATCTGGACCTTCCAGGATGTTAAGCAGTTCAAATGGCTCACAAGCCAACGGGAACTACTTAGGCAAGAGGCTTGATGGCAGTGAAGGCTTCTCCACCCTGGCTGCTGTGTGTCTGGTTAAGCACAGCATTGGTAGCCATGTGAGAGAGATACATCCCAAGTCAGCCCTTTGGGCAGAACTCCAAGTGACTCAGTTCCTCAAAGGGGTACTTCAACAGTGTGAATGCAAAGCAAAAAAATAATAATAATAATAAGTAAACATAAGAAAAAGATACTGGTTATGGGTTACAATGAAATCCCAATCCAGCTCCTTTTGTTTTCTTCTGAATTAAATAGCTTCGCAATAAGTAGCAGCTTCTGCCCTGGTCTGCAAGTGGCTCTCATTCAGCTCCAGCTACTTTGCATACACAGGGTGTCAAAGGCTCCCATGACCAAGGTACAGGAGGGCAGGGGGAATTGGTCCTGAAGACCCGGAGCTAGGAGCTGGGCTGAGGCTACGATCAGGACACTTGCTGACTCTCAGGTCCACTCCTCATTCATGCTGGGGGTGCACCGGGCGCAGGATGCTTTTCAGCATGGCCACTTGCCATTACAGGCTCACTCCTATCAAGTTGACATGAAGTTGACAAAGAAAAGAGCTTTCTGAGGGCTAGGGAAGGAACTCAGTGGGCAAGCTCTCACCTAGAATGCAGGAGGCTGTGGTTTCCCTCTTTAGTACTGCAAAAAGAAAAGAGAGAGAGAGAGATCCATCATAATGCTATTAAATAAATCAGACACAGAAGGGTAAATAGCACATGTTTTTTTTTTATGGGAGAAATCCAAAGTATACATAATTTAAGATAATAGAAGGTGATAAGGAATAGAGAGGTAATTCTCTTATTATTTTATTATGAATTTTTTATTTTTTCATAATATTAAAAAGACAGCATGGGCTGGGGATTTAGTTCAGAGACACCGTGCTTGCCTGGCAAGCACAAGGTCCTGAGTTCAATTTCCAGTATCAGAAGAAAAAATACAGGCAGGTAGACTTCATGGAGATGGGAGGGGTCTGGAGGGACAGGAGAAGAGGAGAAAGTAAAAAGGATCAAGATGCAATATGTATAGGTACCAATTCCCCATGATGAATGTCTTCATTGTGTGTTATAAATATATACTAATAAAAAAGCAAAGAGGAAAAAAATTTAAGGAAAAATTTTTTTAAATAAACATAAAATACTTCCCTTGCCCTGGTGTGACATTAGAGTTTTTTTTTAAAAAAAAAAAAAAA